ATTATTAATAAATTAATACAGTTTTAAATACTCAATATTAACTGGAAAAAAATTGACAACCTGAAAGAGCCTCAATTTTAAAAGGTTAAATTTTCAACGGTCGCTTCCCTTAACAAAAATTGGACAAGTGCGAGTTGTACTTGCTCTAAAACTGAAGGTTCCGTGCAACAATTCGACTTTTTTCATATAGAATATTTTGGTGCTATATGAACGGAAAAAACAAACTAACCATTTTAGGACAAAACTGCTTTATCATTTAATAGTATGTAACTTCGTTTACCTATCTAAGTACTATACTATACTATACTATACTATTATAAAAAAGCATTATTTCATACATCGATAAGTAAACGACGTTACATACTATTAAAGGATAAAGCAGTTTAGTGCTAAAATGGTTATTTTGTTTTTTCCGCGTGGAATTATAAAAAAGTTTTGTATGGCTGGTTTAGATAAGAAATACCATTTAAAATGACTCAGTTATAAATGCAGGGTGAAAAAAATAATAAATATTTCGTTTACTGTTAAAACAAACGCACTCTTTTATACACTGACTACATAAATCACATTTTCGCGCGATTAATTTTATATCCACTATCGATAAAAACAGAAACTTACCGTTCGAAAGAGAAAATAGAGTTACTCATTGTACATTTATTCCTACTGTCAAATATAAGCTAAGAAATATTTACTTTTTTTTTTTTTACACAATTTGCATTTTGTAGGTAATATTAATACTGTAAGAAATATTAATCGAAACCGCGAATTATCGTGGGAAGAATTATAAAATAATGACAGGTGAAGGCCGCGCGAATTCACCATCAAATATCATACGTGAAAAGAATACCAGTTTGTCTATATCGGGCGCACGGACGGTGAAGAAAGGCCCAAGTGTTCACACCAAAAATCGCCGGCGCGTTCTTTCTTCCCATGCGCGTCGCCACTTTCAAATTCGTATAGTTCCGAGCAGCTTTGCAAGTTACCCCCACCGGGAGCCCCAAGCGGTTGACGGGTATAAAAGTGGTGGCTTTGCTTCGGTTTTCGCATTCGATCCGAAGCCTCGATACGAGGCACACCAGAGATTCTCTGGGAAGACAAGCGATACGCAACCTCGATGCGAGGATTTGACTTGGAGATTCTCCAAGGTTAAAGCTATGAGATTCTCATAGTTGATTTTAACGTCTTGAATTTTCTTTTGTTCTTTTAACATAATTTCTAGGATCCCTCATCCATCATCGTTTCAGTGTCTAGATCCACGTCGAACTTTCGTTCTTTTGACTCCGAGGGCGGAGTATTGATTCTCGCGAATCTTCCGTTTAATTTATCGTAATAATAAAACTTGTCGTTTACGCGTATAATATAATAAGTAAATTATCCGGTCATTTTCCGCATCCTTTCTTTTCTTACAAACTCGATGAAATATCAAGTTTAAGTCTAGTCTTTTTTTATTTTACTGTTACGAATACGTATACGATTGCGATGTCTTTTATGATCATATCTCATAGAATTTTATTATTTAAATTCTATATGTAAATATTGTAAATATATCTAGTTTTTTTTAAGTAATAATACAAATTTGTTAAATCTGTAAACGAGGTGTAAAATATATTCGAACCCTGATCCGGCGAGCTAATCCGCTATTTATTTCATTTACATTCATTATAATACAATAAATAAATTACCCCCCTGGCGGATTAGTTCAAGCGTATTTTTAGCGATTTCTTTTTAACTTCGCTTAGAGTGAAAATTTATCGATAAATTGTTAAAAAAATATATAAAAGTGAAAAATAAAGGTAAATTTGTGTTTATATATATGATTTGTGGAAAAATTGTGATAACCCTTGCGGATTGTATGTAATGCGAATGCTGCACGAAATTCGCGAAAAATTCATGGAACACGAGGTTGAGATTGAAATTCTGTCTAAAATGTATAAAAAATGAATTTTTTCATCAAAAATATTGTTAAAAAAATTAATTTTAAACGAAAATAGTGTTGAAAAACAGTATTATTTTATCAAAAAAAAATTAATATATTATCAAAAATATTAGTAAAAAAACAACACAATAGTGTTGATAAAAAAATTCATTTTTTTAACTAATATTTTTTATGAAAATATTAATTTTTTTTATAAAATAATACATTTTTTACCAATATTTCCATTTAATAAATAAGAACTTTTGATAGCTTTTGATAGCTTGTAAGCTTTTGATAAGAAAAAATCGGACAAGTGCGAGTTACACTCGCATTAAAACCGAGGGTTCCGTACCCTTAAACCTAAAATTTGAGAGGGTTAAAGTGTAAAAACCACATTTTAAAAAATTTTTATTTTTCAAAACAACTCAATTAAAATAACTATCTATCATCTTTATTAAATTTTTACTATAATCTACACGTAAAAATACGTAAAAATGTATAAATTTGTATACCAAATATGAACTGTCTTGGTCAAATAGTTTGTGCGCTAGGAGGATTAAACGCTTTTTTTCAAAATTTTTTATTTTTCCTTGACAACGCTATGTAAATCGATCCGAATCATGTTCGCTATATTTTTCCTGTAATTTTTACGTAAAAATACATAAGTGTACCAATTTTGAGCTATCTATGTGAAAAGATGTAGCCACAAGGGGGGGGGTACATAGTCAATTTTAGGGATTTTTCTTAAAAATTCATGGTTTTTCCTTGACAACGCTATAATAATCAATTTCTAGGAGATTCGCTATATTTTTTCTGTAATCTACACGCCAAAATACATATGTGTACCAAATTTCAGCCCTCTAGATGAATTCGTGTGGCCGCTAGAGTGGGGGGGGTACATGCCTTGCTTCATCAATCTCATTAAAATATTCAGAAAAAATTTAAAAAGAAAAAAAGAGTGCTGCCACCTACTTGCTAAAAAGCGCGTCTCTATTGATTTTATCGACAAATGTTGATAATAAACTTAAATAGATTGAATTTAATAAAAACCTTAAGGAGGTTCATCCCTTCAAGCGGTACTCATTCTTTTGGGGGTTTTCCGTAAGTTTCAAACCGACAGCTATAGTCCATAAAAGTTGAGGTCCACTGGCCAATTTAGAGGTTATGTTGCCGTTTCTCCTCTTCTTTCTTTTATTTACATGGGATAAGTTCAAAAGTTGTTAACTTTGATTAACATTTACTTCACAACCAAACGGTAAAAAAATTTCATATTTTTGTAAAAGCTGTTAAAACTCATAATTTAAAACATATTAGTTTTTTAAAAAAATCTGTAGAACCGTTTTTTTTTAATTAATGAAAACATGGTCATTTTTCATGTTTTTTCACTGTTCCCATGTAAAACTTCAAACTTTATCAATTTTTATCTTGAAAACGATACGGTAAAATTCAATAAAATTTTAACAACATATGTAAAGTGATGTCAATAATACATCTTAAAAATTTTAAAAAAATCTGTAGAAAATCGATTTTGGGATGAACCTCCTTAAATTTTTGTAATTATTTAACAATAATCAACTTAAAATGTAAAAAACTTATTGATTTTAATAATTATACTATCAATTTCATCATTTTTTATATATTTTAGACAGAATTTCAATCTCAACCTTGTGTTCCAAGAATTTTCCGCGAATTTCGTGGAGCATTCGCATTGCATACAATACGCCAGGGTTATCACAATTTTTCCACAAATCATATGTATAAACACTAATTTACCTTTATTTTTCACTTTTATATACCCCAGACAGCACCAAAACTTGCAACAACCTTGCAGCATTATAAACATTCCAGGTTCCCAAGCTTCCAGCAAGACAGCCTCAAGTAACAAAATGTCCCACCTTAGCAAGCCTGCAATGAAATGTTGCTGCAAGCTTTCAAAGAAATGTTGCCGCAATCTTGCAATGAAATATTGTTATAAGCTTTCAATAAAAGCTTGATGTAAGCTTGCAATAGAATTTTTAGAATTAGAATTAGAATTTATTAGTCTTTGGTGTTACAATTGTTTTACATCCTCCATGCCTTCTTACAAAATACATTAATCATCATATAATCTCACTACACTTAAGCACTTTTTCTATTTCGCACAAACCTACACACATTTCCTTATTATTACAAATTCTTAAACTTTCTAATAAATTGTTTCTCCAAATTTCCTCTGTGCCTTCACCTCTCCACTTCTGCCACCAATTCCTCACCTTTACTGTCAGCTTTTCCATAATCTTCTCACATTTTATTACGTGTTCTAAGGTTTCCTTGAATTTGTTGCATCCTCTACAATTATTGTTATTGAAACCTTTTTTATCCTCTTTTACTACGTTTCCACATCTCCATCTCGCCCAAGTTTCTTTTTCTTTCAAATGTTAATTTTTCAATAACTCTCAATTCCCGCATTACTCTTTATAGATGCAAAGTAGTTGCAGAAAGATGATTTGTCTACTTTCATCCAATCCTTTTGTAAATCTTGATCCGATTTTATTTTACTTAAACTCTCTATCCTTGTCTTGATTTCTTCAACTGTCCTTCTATTCAATAACATCTGAACAACGAGTCCATCACCAAGTTCTTCAAAGGAACTTATCATTTTCTCACCCCACTTAGATGCATTTCCATTTCTTATGTTCCTTAATTCTTCCATTAGACATTTCCTGGGCCATCTTTTCTCTTGCATCTTGTATACTTTTAAAACAAAATTCGCTGCTCTTTTCCAAGCCTCCACTGCTATACCTCTTTTGCCTGCCTCCAATTTCCAAATATAATCTGGTGTATTCCTCGACAAAGCCATGCTTGCTTTCACATACCTTCCCTGTACTTTTTCAATTATGTCACAACTTGCCCAGCCCCATACTTCAACACCATACATCGCCCCTGCCTTAATTGTGGAGTCCATGAAAAATAATTTTCTTTTAAGATCTGTCACACCTGCTCTTTTTAACTCGCCCCATACTTTGTTTACTAATTGTTGAGTTTTCCCTGCTGCTTTTTTTAGTTGAGTGTTGTAACTATTTTTTGTTGTAAACCAGAATCCTAGTTATTTAAATTCTGTTACAACCTCAATTTCTTCTTTTTTGTAAGTCCACTTTTCTTTCTTTCTTCTTCCTCCTCTTCTAAATACCATTATCTTTGTCTTCTTTGTATCCACCTCCATAAGGTTTCGATCCGTCCATTTTTCCAAAATTATCATCATCTCCCGTAGTGCTTTACCATCCTCAGCTATTAATGCCACATCGTCAGCGTATAAAAGTGTATATATTTTTAAACCTTTAGTCTCACTTGTACCAAAAGCTGTTCCTCCAACTTTTTTTCTTTTGAAGTCGTCTTCTAAATCATTCATAAAAATGTTGTATAATATCGGGCTTAAGGGACACCCTTGTCTTACTCCACTGTTAGTTTCGAATTTTTCTGTCTCATCTTCTCCCACTATAACTCTATTCCACGTTTCCTTGTATATTTCCTGAGTCATTTTTAAAAACTTACCCTTTAGGCTGCAGTCCCATGGCAGCGTTTTGCGTTGCGTTTTGTCACTAGACCATGAGTGTAAAAGAGATGCAGATATATGTTTGCTATGTTTACACTCATGGTCTAGTGACAAAACGCAACGCAAAACGCTGCCATGGGACTGCAGCCTTATACCTACCCTTTCCATTTTTTTCCATAATAGTTCCCTGTTTAAACGGTCAAATGCTTTTTTAAAATCGACGAACATTACATATAATTTCTTACCTTTTTGTTTCAACCTATTTCCTATAATTGTATTTAATACATACACTTGCTCCATTGCTCCTCTTTTCATTCTAAACCCCGCTTGTGCTTCTGATATGACTTCATTCTCTTCTAACCAATTCTTCAGTCTATTTGCCATTATCGTCGCCAATATCTTGTATCCAATGTCCAGTAGAGAAATTCCTCTATAATTTCCAGTTTCATTAACATCTCCGTTTTTGTAAATGGTGAAAATCATGGACGTCCTCCATTCGTTTTTTAACTGGCCTTTCTCCCATATCTCCTTAATTGCCTCACTAACTTCCGTAAATATTTCGACTGGTAGATTTTTCAGGAACTCTGCACTGATGCCATCTTCTCCAGCTGCTTTCCCCGATTTTAAATTTCTTAAAGCTGCTATTATTTCTTCGTGTTCTATCGGTTTATCTAAACTGATTTCTTCGTTATATTCATCTGGAACGGCATTATGGATCCCATCATTTTTCTCTTCTTGATGTTGCATTTCTTCACTTTCGACCATTTCTTCGATTCTTCCATTTTCAACAATTAAATTTTCCGCATCATTTAGTAAATTTGTGAAATGTCTTGCCCATTCTTCTTTCGTGATACTGTTCTCTACTATTTTTCTTCTTTTACGAAACCATCTCATGGATTCCCACCACTCTGTCAAGTTACGACTTTTTTCTACTCTTCTCCTCTTATCTTCCAGCCATTCTTTTATCAACTTCTCTCTTAACTTCTTCAAGGCTTTCCTGACTTTTATATATTCAACCTTATTCTTCCAGTTTCTTGTTTTTCTGAATTTATATAACAATTTAAATAACTTCCTTCTCATTTCTTTATATTGTCCATTATCCCATCCATTATAATTATTTCCTGTTTTATTTCCCTTCTTATACATTCCTGATTTCTTGGCCGCTTCTTGTATAACTCGTTTAATCTTGTCCCATCTGTTCTCTATGTCTTGATCTTTTTCATTTAATAGCAGTGATCCCCACGAAGCTTTACATGCTTCCCTAAAACTTTCTTCTTTTTCCTTCTTCCATCGCAATCTGCCTTTCTTTTTGACATGAATTGTTTTAGTTTGTGTCCTATTTTTGCTTTCCCAACTCACTCTGTAAAGAATAGGTAAGTGATCCGATCCTTCCTGTGCAGACACTTTGAGACCTTTGAACCAATCAGGTATATTTTGTTCCTCCGTTTTGACTAGAACAAGATCTAGTACACTACCTAGACCACTGCCATGACCAATACAAGTGATCTTCCCTTCAATATCACCTTCCATTCTGCCGTTCATAATAATTATTGCTCTCTCCTCGCACCACTGCAATAATTTCTTACCTTCCGATCTTATTTCTTTATCCTCGGATTTCCTTGCGGGAACTTCATTTACCTCCTCTAGTCCACATTCAGCCACTCCTTGACCTTCCCCAATTCTCGCATTAAAATCGCCAGCTATTATAATTTTTTTGTTGCTACCCTCAAGGTTTTCCAATTTTTCATCTAACTTTTCAATGAATTTCTTAAAATTTGACGACTTGTTATTATATCCAGTTATTACTGTGTAGTTATCGTTTCCATTTTTATTATTTAAATTTATCTGTAGTCCGAAATCCCACTCTTCTATTGTCCATTCAACATCAGGGTTCTTTTTTATTCCCACCAAGTGACCCCCACTTGCTCTGCCTTTCTTTGAGTTACCTCTCACAGCTGCTTTGCCACTCCAGCTGAATTTTTTATCCAGTGTATTAGTCACTTTATCCATTTTTTCTTTTTCCAAAAAGGTTTCTTGAATTACTAAAATATCTGCATCTTTCAATAGGTTCCAGTTTTTCCTCACGTTCCCTATTCCCTGAGAATTGTATTGCACCATTAGTAGTTCACAAGACTCCTGTTCTACTTCTTTTTTCTGCACGAAAAAATCTAGACCCCTGTTTCCTATCACTCAATTGTAAGATTCCTTCCAGTTCGTTCCACTTTAGCCATACATCATCTACCATTAATTTCTGATATCTCACTTTTGCCGTTTTTCCCCTTAGTCTCCATTCTTTTGCCTCCATTCTTAACCACTCTTGGACTGTATTTTGTCTTTCTGTAAAGTCATCTTTAATTTGTACACCCCAACCTAAGAAATTTAACATTTTCTTTTTTCTCATTATCTCTTGTTTCATTGCCCATTCCTCTAGCTTGATTTTCCATCCTTCTTGTACCCTTTCTAGGTGGTTAACTTTCACTTTTATTTGTAGTATTTCTTCTGTCCACTTTTCGAATTCTTCTTTTCGTTCCTTAGTCAATAAGGTCAAACCCTTCACTATAATATTTTTCTTTCTTTCCCATCTAATCTTCTTTTCTTCTTCCCACATTTCTCCACTAAAGCCTTTCGGAGGTTGATTTCTTTCATTCTGTTTATCAGTGTCAATGTTTTCTTGAATACTTCCTTTTTCTATTGCTAGCGCCTCACTATACATTTTTACATTCGTCTGCTGGTTTCTTAGTTGTTTTTCTCGTTGTACTGTTTTTTCTGTAAGAATTCTTAAACTGTCAATTTCATCCTCCTTGTCAGCTAAGTTTTGCTTTAGAAACTGAATTTCTTTTTTTAATTCATTGTGTATCTTCTCATAATGATTCATTCGTTTTTTACATTCCCCACAATTCTTATTGCCCGAATCTATATTTTCTAGGCCAACTTTTATAGTTTGCTCGAGCTCAGCCATCCTTCTTTCCCATTTTTCCTCCATTTGTGCTTCCCATTTTTCTCTCCATTCTCTTTCCTCTAAAATTTTATTTTCCACACATTCGAATTCATTCTCTTTTTCTTTCTGTTTATCCTGATCCTGATTATTTTCCATAATTGTCTCTTCAGCTTCCGAAAATTCCATCTCCTCAGTAAACTCATCTTCAAAATCATTATCACTTGCCTCATCTGTCTCACCGTTGGTGGTTTCATTGTCTGAGCCTTTTTCTTTCGCACTTATTTCCTTTTGTTCATTTTTATACCAAAAATTTGTTAAACTTTGGTCTCCCTTTTCCATTTTTTGCTTTTTACTCGGTCTGCCTCTTCCCTTTTTTTGGCCTTCTGTTTCCTTATCTGCGATGTTTACATTTTTTTGCCTGTTCACCGATCTTAAAGCCCTCTGACTGCTTTCTACATTATTATTTGCTTGATTACAAATTACACTACCCGCCATCTGTCGTGATTCTGTGCCACTAATCTCCATGTCCTTGGCGTCACTCATTCTTTACTTTCTAACCTCACTTTTGGTCCACCACTTCAATGCCAACACTTTTAATTGTGATATTTTCACCGCAAAAACAGAAAACACTTTTTATAACGATATACTTGAACTATTATCTTTCTCGCTTTACCTTTTTAATTAAACAGTGTCGTCTACACTATTATTTCGACACTAAAAACTTGCGCACAACTTTCATACGACTATACGCGTCCGCCATCAAACCGGAAGTCAGTAAGCTTGCAATAAAAGGTTCATATGTGGTTAACACAAACTTACAATATGCTTGCTGCATGCTTACAATATTGCTTGAAATCACAAAAGGAAAAAATTAAAATTTTTTATTTATTAATTTTTTTTTATTTGCATTATATTTTTTTATGTTAACTTAATATTATACGATAGAATCTTGTGGCGTATGGGGATTCGAAACCTGATTTTACGCACGCAAGTCGAGAATGGGAACCTGGCATGTTTATAATGTTGCAAGGTTGTTGTAAGTTTTTGTGCTGTCTGGGAATTTTTTTACAATTTATCGATAAATTTTCACTCTAAGCGTAGTTAAGCGAAGTTAAGTGATTTCTAAGCGAACTTGCTCAAAATACGCTTGAACAAATCCACCAGAATAAAATGTCTCATTTTAAGTGATATTTCTTATATAAACCAGTCATAAAAGTTGTCCATGTAAAACCATCTTATAATTCCATATAGCACCAAAATATCGTGATGTCAACCTTTTTTTACTGGGATATGGAAAACTATATTCAAATAATAGATTTTGAAATTTGTGTCAAATTTATCTCTTTAAATTTTCTTTGAATTACATTTTCATTTCACAAACAAAATATTTAGCATATGAGGCATTTCACGGTTAATGTCCTAAGTCAAAAAAACGATTTCTCGAAAAAAAACTGAAACTTGGGGAAATTGTCAAATGTCTCATATATAGCTACAATTTATACCAATTATTATTTATTAAGTACATGCAAAACATACCACCATTATCAACATGTAGACTTTTTAAATATGTATCCGTTCCTTCTATATTCAAATGTTCGTCATTAATCGGTGATAATTGAAGAATTATACTCTGAATCGAGTTACTATTTTTATCCGAATCATCAGGATCTAAACAACTTTTCTCTTCAACTTCAGTGAAGTCAGGAACTGACGGTAAACAACTAATATTTGAATCAATTTTTGAATTATTTGACATTGACTTGGACTCAGTAACCGCTTTCAATATATCTGTAAAAGAAGGTAATTTTTAAAATTCTGAATCTTACCAGATACAAACATGGGTTTTTAATAAAAGTAGTAAAAAAATAATAAATTGTTACATTATTAATATATTATTAAAATTTCTGATTATTATTCTTTTAATAAATTACTTTTCAGTATCAAACAGGCACATATTCAAGGATAAATATTTTTATCGTAACCGGAGATCTAACCTACGACAGTACAAGACTTTTTAGGGAATCAATTTCTAATTATCTAACCTTTCAAAACAATAAAATAAATTATTGAAGGTTTAGAGATGCCTTTTAATCGAATCAATTCGCTTTCTACATATCACAATGAAATAACATTTTGGCACATATACAATTTCAGCCTGGTTTTAATACTGATTTAAAAGACTTTGGCGGGTAACTGGCTTGTTGTGAATTCTATCAAGTAAAATTTTCTTTGCCACTTCAATTATATTTTAAGTATAATAAAAAAACATCTTTTTATTTTATAAATTATCCGGTTTGTATTTAAGTGATATTGTATAAGGTTATCATACTGGTTTTATTAGATTTCCTACTGTTAATTCCCATGTGAGATCCTTTGTAAAATCGCTTATGGTTTCTTATATAAGATTCTATAAGAAATCTTATAAGGAAATCTCAAAAACGGTAAGAGATACGTAAAATCGGACAAAATTTTGAGTTCATTTTATATAAAGCAACAATATTTTGTGTTTAAAATCTAAAATATGTCTCATATTTTTTTTAAATAACTACTACATATTCCCATGTGGGATCCTATGTGAGATCTCATATAGAATTCTATATGGATACTCATGAGATTTGTCTCATGAGTTTCCATATAGGATTCTCGTAAGATCTCATGTAGTATCTCATATGAGAAACCATAAGTGATCTTATGCGGGATCTTAAACGCGAATTTACAATAGGGTTAATATACGGTAGTCAATATAAATCTAGATGATTCTCCGCGTAGCGTACAACTTAATGTCCCTCGTATGTTTTAAAAAATCGTTTGCACATATTGCAATAAATCCAACGGAAAGAACTAATTTCTATGTTTACAAACAAAAGCCTACAGTCGTTTTTATTTAAAAGCTTATAATTTTACTTAAAAAGCTGTTTTAAGGTACAAAAACGTCATGGTATGATCTGTCCCCAGTACCACTTTTATATAAAAAAATGTTATTTTTAGTAAAATATAGTAATCAATATAAAAACTATTGATAGTTTCGTATTGTTTATGTTAGTAGAATTATGAACAACAAAGCATTTGATAAAAAAAAAATTTATTTTATTTCATTTTTTTGCTGTTAATTCTTGTCCCTCGTTTTTGCGTCATGGTATAGCCTTTTTAAAAAATAGCATTTTTTTTACATAAAAATCAAATCGAAACTTCACTCAACATTAGTTAAAAGCAACAATAAGCTCTCCTACGTAAATTACTAAGAGGGAAACTGCTTTCAGAATTAATTTTTTTGTTTTTCTCACATCGAAAGCATCAAATGTGCATAGGGAATCACAGAATCGTCATGGCCTTCCAATATTTCTCAATAAAATTAATCAATATTTATATTTTATGTCAACTGAAGTGTCGTAGTATTAGTTCAGTGAATATAAATAACATGCATATGAAACAGATTGAAAGTCGATAATAAATTGTTGAAAAACCCAGTTTTTCTTGTGCGTCATGGTATGGCCTCATCGTCATGGTATAGCCTTTTTGGCATTGTAAGGCGTGAACGGCGTGTATCACTGAAGTGTCTATAAGTGCACATAGAAAGTGAAGCAAAGCAATTTGTTTTAAACATTAAACATTAGATAAGTAATAAATAATTACATAAATGTCCATAAATTACCAAAATAAAAATTTTGAATTGTCGTTCGCTCTATATATATATTTTTTAAATTACCGCGAAAATTTTCATAAATTACCGAAATCAAAAATTTTTAATTGCAATTTATGCTTTACATATTTTTATGAAATATAGCCTAAATTTCTATAAATTACCGCATAAATTTTCATAAATTACCTCGAAAATTTCCGTAAATTACCGAAAGCAAAATTTTTAATTGTCGCTCGCGCTATATATATACATTTTTGTTAGTTACCCCAAAAATTTCCATAAACATTTTAAATCAAATTTCAACTATTTTATAGAATTCAAAAAGCAAAGAATTTTTTTTTAATTTGTTTAAAAAAATTATAAAAAATTTTTCCGGCCCACCATGGATATTTATTTCTTGACACTTTATCTTCAAAAATATGTATTGATATTTATCATTTTGATAAAAAAATATTTTTAAAGTTTCAGACTCCAAATCGTGCGCTACGCGGAGAATCACCCATCTATAACCGATTTGAAGGTATATGGAATTTTATGCGAAACTAAGGAATAATTTTAAAAAGGTTTTATACAGACTCTTTAGAATTCTACTTTGTTTATATCCGTATTTTATCAAGTGCATATCCAGTGTTTTTTATTTAAGGGGGGAAACTTGTGTAAAAAAAATTTTTTTTCATAATTTTTTCTTGCTTTAAAAATTAATTTACTATTTGTAGAATATAATCCTAAATTATTAATCTACAATTCGAAGTATTTGAAGTCTACAGTATACATAAATGTAGCACTTCAAATGCTACCAAATTCAGTTAACGATGCGCACGAGATCGCTCTATTCTTTTGCTTTCTTGTCAATATAATTTTATTAATTGTCAGTAGCAAGCACTATGAACAAGTGATAGAAAATCTTGGTTTTAGTGCAAAAGTTATTTTCGAACGCATAACGTCTTCAAGGCAATAGTTAAAAAAACTACTTTTTTGTATTGAAAACTTCAAACGCGTTTTTCTCAAAACGTGTTTTTTCGCTCGCCGTGCAATGTTGCTCAGCTAATTTTTAACCGATTTTCATGAAACTTATCAGAAGACTTCTTCACCTTACTGGCTATTGCATAATGCGCTAGTAGGCTGCACGGTGAATTTTTGTATAGATATATTTCGTTTTATATGTGAAAAATTTTTCTTCAAACTAAATAAAAATATATATTAGTTTGTAAAAAAAATTATTATTTATCTCAATTTTTTATGTTTTAAATAAAAAAAAAGTTATTTAATTGTTTAATAACTTTATTAATAATAATACGATCGGATTGAAACTTCATGAAAATGTTCCCCTCACGATACTGAACAAAATAAAAAAACTTCGAACTCAATCGAATGAATAGTTTATAAATTATTCCATTTGTTAATTAAAAACATGTTATTTTTCAACCTAATTTCAACAGAACGATATGGAGTGAATTAAATTTTTTTTTCTTTCATTTTAATCTTGAAGAGTGATACTATTATGTACATAAAGAAAAAAATCCAATTTTATTATTTTATTGTATAATTATCGACAAAGAAAAAAAGGTAATTTCTTTAGTTATAAACAATTACTCGGCTATTTTTTACTCTGTCGAGTTAAAATAAAAGCCATTAAACTTCTTTTTTCTTTTACAAAACTTAAAAAAAAAGAAAATCAGTCTAGCTCAAAGGGTGTGGGAGTAATTAAGTCTGGCAACGAAAATCTCCCATCACGTCAGAATTTTAAGAAAAGTGGGGGTAAAAGTCCCAAAAATCACGTTTTTGTCAGTTTTTGAAAATTTCTACCTGGAAAATCCGACGTGCTAGAGGCTTGTTACGAACGAGAAAAATTAATTATTTAATTTTTATAATTTTAAACAATTACTTAAAATTTTCTATTCGC